GGGGTGGGGGGAGTCAGTTAAAGAGATATCGGTGGGCTTAGTAATTCCCATGGCCGCATCCATGTTTCTGCTTTAAACAGTTTCTCGGGGTATACAAAAAATTAGTTGCCGATGAAACTAATAAAACCTGGAATTTTCCACTTCTGTTCTATTGATATCATTGTAATGTTTGTTTGTTTATTTATTTATTTATTTATTTATTAGTTCAATTTATATGCCGCCCTTCTCCGAAGACTCAGGGTGACTTACAATGCACTTATAGCAATAGCCTTCATTCTTTTGTATATATCTGCTTATTAAGGCTTTTGGGCCCCCCTAAGCAGTGTTCTTTTTTATACAAAGTCAGCTTATTGCCCCCGCAATCCGGGTCCTCAATTTACCTACCTCGGAAGGACGGAAAGCTGAGTCAACCTTGAACCTGGTGAGATTTGAACTCTCACTAATTGCAGGCAGCTGGCAGCTAAGTGCTACATAACAGCACTTAGTCCGCTGCACCACCAAGGCTCTATGTTATTGTAATGTCTGATAATGTTTGATTGTGGTGAGACACCTAAGGTCATTGTGAGTTGGGTGGCATACAAATTCAACCATCCTTGGCATTGACAAAACCACCCTGAGTCAATTGCAGAAGGCAGCTTGACTCAGACCTTTAACACCATAAAACACCTGCCTATCTTCCCAAGTCCTTGAGAAGGACTCATCAGATGGATAAAAATGCCAAATCCAGTCTAAACATCTGGCCGTGTGACAAACCATAATAACAACACCTGGAGCATCACGTGAACACCTTTGGCATTGACAAAATCCCCATCAGTCAATTGCAGAAGGCAGCTTTACTCTGAACAGCTGACATTCTGCTACAATACATCCAACACCATAAAACATCAACAATCTGCCTATCCCAGGTTCTTGGGAAGGACTCAACAGGTGGATAAAAAATGCCAAATCCAGTCTAAATATCTGGCTGACAATGCAACGAACTAATAATATTAGCAGAACAATGAAAAGTGTAGCTCACAACAGATGCAGACTGAACCAATACGGATTTAGCTTCAAAACAACATTTGGCCGTGACCTGTTTCAGTCAATGAATGGTTTTCATATTAAGCAGTCAAAGGCATTTGTGAACTAAGCGCTGCAACTGGACTAAAAATGGATAAAGCAGAAGCCAAACCAAAAAAAATTTCCCCAACCATCTATTTTTAAAAAGGATTTAAATTACACGGCAGAAAAGGGAAGGAAAAGTTGCTTTAGCCATCTTAAAGCATTCCAGCTGGGAGATTCTGGAAGTCCACCCATCTTACAGCATGCTGGCTGGGGGATTCTGGGAGTTGAAGTCCATCCATCTTACAGCATGCCGGCTGGAGGATTCTGGGAGTTGAAGTTCATCCATCTTAAAGGATGCCAGCTGGGGAATTCTGGGTGTTGAAGTCCACCCATCTTAAAGCATGCCAGCTGGGGGATTTTGGGAATTGAAGTCCACCCATCTTAAAGCATGGCTGGGGGATTCTGGGAATTGAAGTCCATCCATTTTAAAGCATGCCGGCTAGGGGATTCTGGGAGTTGAAGTCCACCCATCTTAAAGTCGGCTGTCTGGAGGATTCTAGGAGTTGAAGTCCATCCATCTTAAAGCATGCTGGTTGGAGAATTCTGGGAGTTGAAGTCCACCCATTTTACAGCATACTGTCTGGAGGATTCTGGGAGTTGAGATCCACCCATCTTAAAGCATGCTGGCTGGGGGATTCTGGGAGTTGAAGTCCACAAAGCATGTTGACCAGGGATTCCTGGGTGTTGAAGTTCACAGATTCTGAAGCCTGCTGGCTTTAAAAGGAGTTGACATCCACACAGCTGATAGTTTCCAAGATTGTAAAACATTAAGATGGAGCTTCCATCTTCTGAACGGTGCTGTGATGTCTAATTACATCATTATTCATTAAACAAATGTACGCTGACTCGGATATTATAGAGTAGCTGAAAAATACACCTTTTTCTTCCACTATCATTAAAAGGGGGAAAAGTCTATTTTGACTCAGCTCCTGATGACCTCATCATAGCTGCATCCTTTTCGAAACAATAATATGGAAATATTTTTGTCTTCTTCCAGGATGTTTTTACACTTCCCCATTCTAGCCTCCAGGCCTGGGATTTCCTGGGTAGACTAATTCACACTCTACAAGGAAAATGCCACCTCAGTCCAAAAGCTGCACCACGAAGCATTCTCTGCCTTCTATCATTAGAGCGAGCAAAATTCATCAGGCCTGTTTTCTACTCAATGTCCCATTTTTCAAGTCTTCAATTCAATCCCTTGCAATCAGGGGTGGGTTCTACTTACCTTTACTACCGGTTTGCAACGGGAGTGCGCGCACACGCTTCCGCGCATGCACAGATCATCCATGATGATGTCCGGGCAGGTGGGCGGAGCCTCCCATCACTTTTATTACCGGTTTGCAAGAACCGGACCGAACCCACCACTGCTTGCGATGAATAAATACGATGTATGCTTAAAAAAAAGTTTTGCTCAGACACATAGACATGTCAGTGGAACGACTTGCCTCCAGAAGTTCTGGGTGTTCCAACACTGGAGGTTTTTAAAAAGAGATTGGACCACCATTTGTCCAGAATGGTACTGGTAGTCCTCGACTTACAGCCACAACTGGGCGTAAAATTTCCTTTCCTAAGTAACCCAGTTGCTAAAGAGTGTTTTGGATAAAAATGCCAAATCCAGTCTAAATATCTGGCTGACTGTGTGACAAACCATAACAACAACAACTGGAGCACCACGTGAACCATCGACATTGACAGAATCCCCATCGGTCAATTGCAACAGGCAGCTTTACCCAGAACAGCTGACATTCTGCAACAATACATCCAACACTATAAAACTTCAACAATCTGCCTAGCCCAGATTCTTGGGAAGGACTCAACAGGTGGATAAAAATGCCGACCTTTCTTGCCACAGGTGTTAAGCGAATCACTGCAGTTGTTGAATTAGTAACATGGTTGTAAAGTAAATCAAATCCTTTGGCCACCGAATGAGAAAGAAGGACTCCCTGGAGAAGAGCCTAATGCTGGGAACGATTGAGGGCAAAAGAAGAAGGGGATGGCAGAGAACGAGGTGGCTGGATGGAGTCACCGAAGCAGTCGGTGTGAGATTAAATGGACTCCAGAGGATGGTAGAGGACAGGAAGGCCTGGTGGAACGTTGTCCATGGGGTCGCGATGGGTCGGACATGACTTTGCAACTAACAACAACAAAAATAAATCTGGCTTCCCCACTGACTTTGCTTGCCAGAAGGTTGCAAAAGGAGACACGTGATTCCGGGACACTGCAGTCGTCATAAATATGAATCAGTTGCCTAGTGTTTTAATTTTGATCACATGACCATGGGGATGCTGCAATAGTCATAAGCGTGAAAAATAGTTTTAAGATACTTTTTTAGTGCTGTTGTAACTTTGAACGGTGACTTAACAAACTGTTCAGCAGGGGGTTGGACTAGAAGACCTCCAAGGTCCCGTCCAACTCTGTTATTCTATTATTCTGTTATATCCTCATTCCAAAGATCTGCACTTTGGCTTCAAATAGCTACACCTTTCTCAAGCCACATCTTTTCCGAAGACTCCACCATAAGATCCCAACATTTGGGAAAATATTTGCACTGATGTAGTCCTCAACTTAAGACCACAATTGGGGCCAGAATTTCCATTCTAAGCAAGATGGGTGCCTTTTTTTTTTGCCAGGTTGTTAAAACAAATCACTGCAGTTGTTAAGTGAATCATGTGGTCATTATGCGAATCCAAAGGTCACAAATGGCAATCTCATGACCCTGGGACGCTGTGACTGTCATGAATACAAGCTGGTTGTCAATCATCTGAATTTTGATCCCATGACTGTGCCGATGCTACAACGGTTGTACGTGTGAGACAGGTTGCAAGTCAGTTTTTTCGCTGCTGTTGTAACTTCAAAGGTTGTTAAACAAATGCTTGTAAGTCAAGGACCACTTGAGTTAAAGCTGGTTTTGATTGTCAGCCTAAGGACAAAGCCCAATTTTTAAAAACTGAATCAGTTTTGGAAACAATAATAGAATTGAAAAGCAGGGTAACAATACATTAAATCAGTGTTTTTCGAGCTTGGCCATTTTAAGATGTATGGACTTCAACTCCCAGAATTCATGCAGGCTGGGGAATTCTGGGAGTTGAAGTCGACACATCTCAAAAGTGGTCAAAATTCAGACACACTGCAGTCAATGGCGTGTGTGTCTATTGAAAGGAGTCTTCAAGCCACAGTCATACAGTTTCCAATCCTGCTATCCAGATGCTGGGGCCAGCTGGGACTCTCCAGATGTTGTGGACTCCACATCCCATTAGCCCCAGCCACAAAGTCAAAAGAAAAGGGACTGTAATCCTAATCGACCCTGAAGAAGTGAATTGAATGTCTCTAATCAAAATAACTCAGAACATGACAGAAAATCATTGTGGTGTGGTATATTGGGCCAGGAGTGAGAAGCCCCGGGTTCAAATCTAGCCTCAGCCTTGGAGATGCATGCAATGACTTCGAGCCAGTCGTTCTTTCTCAAACCAGCCTACACCTTGTTGTGTTGTTTTGAAGGGAAAAAAAACAACAGGAGGGAGCCCTGCACACACGATCTCAAGCTACTGAATGAAAGACAAGGCTATAAAACCTAGGAAATAAATAATATTTTACGATGGTCCATTCTTTGTGATCCTAACCGTCTTTCATTTCCTGATCTTGGGCTTGTTCCCCTCTTTGCCTGGATTCTCACATTGAAACAAGCCACAGTTGAATCTGGCCGGGCTTAATGAAACCTAGCTATCATCCTAGTTTACAAACCATTGTTTGTTATTTAGCAAGAGGATTGACCTCATCATGGCTTAACGGCTCCTTTCCCCCCACCCCAAAAACACAAAATGGTTTTTTTAAACACAACGCATCCATTCCACCTTGGAAATGTTTTTCTCACCTTCCTATCTTTTCTCTCCTACCTTTCTTTCTCTCTCCCTCTCTTTCTCTCTCAAACGAGGAAGACTGACCTTTATTTACAGGATATTTCTGAAAAAAAAATAAAAATCAGCAAATCGTTATGAAAAACCAAAATAAAAAAAAAAAACAGCAGCAGCAGCCTATTTTTTGGTCCAGAGGGTTCCCTCAGGATGAAAATGCGGGCTGTGGAAAAACAATCACCGTCAAAACCTCCTTGGAAAGTTTTGTCAAAGGCTGAGAAGAAGGGGGAGAAAACAAAAAAAAAACCACACACACACCATTCCGCAACTACCCGAATCAGTCACAAACAACACAATCATCTGCGTTGTCTCGACTAAAAAAAAAGAGAGAGAGAGAGAGAGAGAGAGAGGGAAAAAAAAGAAAAACCAGGATGGCTTGGAAGACGGAAGGAAAAAAACAACGACAACCCAGCATCTCCAAAATGCCACGCTCCGTTTCTTCAGATGTTTTGTTTGGAAAGGTCCTATTATATATATTATATATATAATACATATAATTAGAATTGGAATTCTCGCTTCCTTTACGCCGGACGGGCTGAGAAATCCGATCGGGCTTAAAAACATTATTGTTTTTCCGCTCTGCTTTTTTTCCCTTCCCATCCACCCCCCAAAAAAGTCCTCCCGGGGTAATGAATTGCATCTCCCGACTTTATTAGGCGCTTGGAAGGACTCTTTGGGGGTCCTTCCAAGGCTCCAAAGGACACCCCCCCCTATCCGCCCCCCCCCAAAAAAACTCCGCTCCCCCCCCCCACCCCCCCCCCCCAATAAAACTCACCGCAAAGAAACGGGCAGGAATGAAAACAGCAGAGCCAATGCTTCCTTCTCTTCTCCCCACCTCCCAAATTACACCTTAATTCTTTAATCACATGTTTTGCACCGAGTCCCATTACTTTAATTTCCACCTCCCCCCCCAACTCCAAACCCCCAACCGCATCTCATGTTGTGCAGCAAAAAAACGATGGAATGGGGATCACCAACAGCTGGATGGTGTTTACACACCTGAGAAGCTTAAAACCTCCCCTTCCCCCCCAAAAAGACCCACCTCCTCCTCTTCCTCCCTCTTACGCTACTTCAACTCCCACCCTCCTCACTTCCCAAAGCAGCAGCTTCTGGAGCAAACCCACTCCACTTGTGTCAAAACAACTGCACAAATTTTTCCCTGCCTCTTTCTCTTCACCTTGGAGAAAGAGGGACTTTGTTCTGGCTTTGCCTGATTTGGGGTCCCCCCCCCTTTCACCGGACGCACCCCCCCCCCCCCCACCATCTCCAATCCTTGGCCACCCCATGACTTACAGGTCCTGGAGATGCGCGTTGACTCAAAGGTGCTTCTGCCTTCTGGCTCCTTGCAAGGGCTTATGAATGGTTGGGCACCTCTGGTCTTAGCGAGCACTTGGGAATCTGCTTTGGGTTGGTCCTGGCAGCTGACAGCTCACCTCCCAGGCTCCGCCTCCTCTCACCCGCCCCGCACTGAATGTGTTTGTGAGTGTGTGTGTGGGTATGAACTACCCGGGGGTTACTAAGAGACGGCTGTTTGCGCTGAACCTGGCAAACCGCCGCGGCAGTAGCAACAGCCGCGTGGAAACATGAATAGGATGACTCAAAGGGAGTTGAGGGATGTTTTCGACCAATCTAGGCAAGGTTGGCGCTGCCCCATCTCAGCAGGCCTCCAGTGGAAGCCACCTTGGTCAGGTGTGGCCAGAAACAAACAACCCCCCCCAATACTGAAATCATCCAGGTCCCCTGAGTTTTGACAGAATGGCAGCTAGGTGAGGGCTTGGTCTTCTCAAAGGTGTAAGGACGTCCTTTGTCTGCTTGATGGTGGTGGAGGTATAAGTTGACCCCCCCCTCTCCCTCTTCCTACCTTCAATATTTGAAGGGCTTCCACAAGGACGAGGAGGCCCAACTTTGGCCCAACTTTGTTTACCAAAACACCTGTAGGCAGGACAAGAAACAATGGATGGAAACTTAACCAAGGAGAGAAGCAACCTAGAATTAATGCTTCACAGTGAGAACAATTAACCGGTGGAACAAATTGCCTTGGGAAATTGTGGGTGCCCCAACACTGGAGGCTTTTAAAAAGAAAGCCAGGAGTGGACAGCCATCTATCATATACTATAGGTCTCCTGCGAGAGCAGGGGGTTGGACTAGATGACCTCCAGGGTCCTTCCCAACTCTATTATTGTTGCTGAGGTGATGGAGTTGCGCTGCTGAGTACAGGTGAGCAGCAGGCAGGAGTCCCCCACTCCCCAAAATCCAGACACACACTCCTAGATCAAACCCACTTGTCTTGCAGAATAGAGATGGAAGAGACCCACTGAAATATATCTCCCCAGTTAGGAAGGCCAACAAAGATGATAGAGTGACCACTCGTTCAGGAGCCTAGATTGTCCTTTCCTCCTTGTTTCCTCCTCTTCCTCCAGGTTGCCCCCCCCTCAAATAGACACCCCAAGTCATTCAGTACAGGTAATCCTCGACTGACGACCAAAATTACTGAACCCCCATACTTCTGTCGGGCTCAATTATTACAGATAATTCAATTATTATGGACAGTTATGAGGTGAGTTTTGCCCCCATTTAGAACCTTTCTTGCCACGGTTGTTAAGTGAATCACTGCAGTTGTTAATGTTGTTAAATGAATCTGACTTCCCCATTGACTTCAATTATCAGAAGGTCCCAAAAGGTGATCACATGACCCAGGACATATGAGCTATTTGTCAAGCAGCTGAATGTTGATCACGTGACCATGGGGACGTTGCGACGGTCATAAGTGTGAAAAATGGTCATAAGTCTTTTTTTTCATGACATTGTAACTTCAAACAGTAAACTAAATGAACTGTTGTAAGTCGAGGACTTCCTGTATTTGTGGCACTATTGACATGCTGAGACCTTCGGGAGATATTTTGGGGTGCTCTCTGTTGTTGTTTTTCACGATTTTGGGGCCTTCTCCCCGCTTCCTATTAACTTCTCCTGAATGGATGATGCTGTCTAAGCCACACTGACAACTTCAAAGAGAACAAATTCACTATTATTGTATAAAATAGAATAGAATAGAATAGAATTCTTTATTGGCCAAGTGTGATTGGACCCACAAGGAATTTGTCTTGGTGCATACACTCTTAGTGTACATAAACGAAAAGATACTTTCATCAAGAATCATAAGGTACAACACTTAATGATAGTCATAGGGAACAAATAAGCAATCAAATCATATTAGGAAACAGTCAATATAAATCGTAAGGATACCAGCAACAAGGTTACAGTCATACAGTCATAAGTGGGAGGAGATGGGTGATAGGAACGATGAGAAGATTAATAGTAATGCAGAGTTATAGTAATGCAGATGTGGTGAAACTCAAGTCTACTGGTGAAAACTTTATATTTTTACTCTTTGTTGGCCATCACTCAGAAAGGCTCTCTTGTGGATGAAGAAAAGGAGTGTTTTAAGCTATTAAAATAATAACATGACTTGGAAAGTCTGGATTTCATAATTCCAGGAGGGACTGCAGAGAGGTGGAGAATGACTGAATTGAGTGAGAAAGAAAATTTCCCACAGAAATAAGAAAATGTTGCACAGATACCTTGTGGGAAGATTAAACCTTCAGAGGCCTAGTGGTTGGAGTCAGGGAGAAGCTTCTAAGGCAGGGAGAAAATGTGAAATCTGAAAAATGGATACCAAGACCACCTCTGCTTCCCCCTCCCCAAATAATGGCATTTAAAAGGCCAGGCTGCTGCTCCGTACTGTAGTCCTCATTTAGCAACTGCTTCCTTTAGTGACCATTTGCATGATGGTAATAAAATATTAACTTTGGGACCAATTCCTTGTATCTGCAACCTTCGCAACTCTGTAAACCAAAGGAAAGCTGAAGAAAAATCGTAAGCATAGGTGAGGTTTCGTTTAGCAACATGTTCACCTTGCGATGGTGGCGAACCTCTTCATTTAACGACTGAGTTGCTGGTCGTAATTGTGGTGCTAAACGTGGACTACCTATATTACGCCTGCAAATATTTTTCAGGAAGAGCTTAGCATAACATTGTTGAGGCCCATCGGTCCTTTTGCAATCAGGATAGAATTTAATTTCCCACCTAATGGCCCAGGGGAATTACACAATTCCCATTTCTCAAAAGTTGTATAGAAAAGAGAGATCGCTCAAAAAAAATCTCGCCTTGTTTTTAGTGGTTGTTTAGTGTTGGAGAGAAAAAAAAGTATTTTTCTTGGCTGTCTCTCTGTGACTTTTGCTTAACGAAAAGACATTTGTCCATTTCTTAAATATGCTTTCAAGTAAATTGGAGAGGCAAAACAGAATAACAGAGTTGGAAGGGACCTCGGGAGGTCTTCTAGTCCAACCCCCTGTTCAAGGCAGAAAACTTTATACTAGACAAATGGTTGTCCAGTCTCTTCTTAAAAGCCTTCAGTGAATGGAGCACCCACAATTTCTGGAGGCAAGCTGTTTCACTGATTAATTATTCTCAGTGTCGGGAAATTTCTCCTTAGTTTTAGGTTGTTTCGCTCCTTGATTATGAACCTTCCTATCCTCTTAAATCCATTATTTATTTAATGAGATTTATATGCCGCCCTATCTCCAGCCGGACTCAGGGCGGCTCACAGCAGTAAAAAACATCTGATGAAAAAGTTAAAAAAAAATTAAATCCAAATCTCATAATTTAACAGTTAAAAGTGCAATTAAGACTAACAATATAAAAATTAAAACTCCATCAGTCCAGGTCAGCCAAATAAAACAGCCACGTTTTCAGGTCGCGACGGAAAGAGCGGAGGTCGGGGGCTACCCGGAGCTCCAGAGGCAGTTGATTCCAAAGGGTAGGTGCGCCCACAGAGAAAGCTCTCCCCCTGCGGGTCACCAGCCGACACTATCTGGCCAATGGCACCCTGAGGAGGTCCTCTCTGTGGGAACACACCGGGCGATGGGCAGTTGTTCCTGGCTGCAGATGACCCCCCAAATATCCCGGGCCTAAGCCATATAGGTAATCACCAGCACCTTGAATCTCACCCGGAGGGCAACTGGCAACCAATGCAAGTTGCGTAGGAGAGGTGTAACATGGGAGTGTCGAGATACTCCCATCACAACCTGTGCGGCCGCATTCTGCACCAGCTGAAGCCTCCGAGTGGTCTTCAAGGACAGCCCCATGTAGAGGGCATTGCAGTAGTCAATACAGGAGGTGACAAGTGCATGAGTAACCATGCGTAGGGCATCTAGGTCCAAATATTCTGTCTCTTTCTACACAACAAGCAAAACCACACCTTCTGTGCAATATCTTTTCAGGGATTTGAAGAGGGCGATTGTGTCCTAACAGTAACAGAGTTGGAAGGGACCTTTGGAGGTCATCTAGTCCAATCCCCTGCTCACGCAGGAGATCTGTATTAGGGATTCGAACCGCCGAAGTGCCGACCTTTATGATCTTAGTCTTAATCTTAGTGTCCAGTGAACTGTCTCTTCTAAGGCTAAACATAAACCAGTTCCTTCAATTGCATTTTGCAGGACTATAATTTCTAACCTCTTGATCATTTGTGTTGCCGTTCTTTTAACCAGTTTCTCTTCCTCCTTCTTTGAGCCCGGTGCCCGGAATTTGTGGTCTGCTGTGACCAAAGCAGTATTTGTAATTATTAAAACAATTATTTCCCTTAATTTGAAAATTATTCTGCTATTGATGTGGCCTAAAATTGTATTTGCCTTTTCTGCAGCCATGTCACACTTCTGGCTTATATTGCCTTTGCCTTCAAATATATTTGAAATTCTTCTGGAGGTATGCTCCTTCGGGGAAACAATCATGATTAGAAAGTAGCCAGAAACTAGCCATGTTAAGTTAGTAACATGGTTGTTAAGTGAATCTGGCTTCTCCGTTGACTTTGCTTGTTGGAAAATTGCAAAATGTGATCACATGAACCCTGGGACGCTACAGCTGTCATAAAAACATGCTGGAGTGAAGCTTTTCTCCAAAGCACCTGAGAGCAGGACAAGAAGCAATGGAAGTGGAAACTAATCAAGGATGGAAGCAACCTAGAACTAAGGAGAAATTTCCTGACAGCGAGAACAATTAATCAGTGGAACGACTTGCCTCCAGAAGTTGTGAATCCTCCAACACCGGAAGTTTTTAAGAAGGGATTGGATAACCATTTGTCTGAAGTGGTGTAAGGTTTCCTGCCTAAGCAGGGGGTTGGACTAGAAGACCTCCAAGGTCCCTTCCAACTCTTTTTTTTTTTTAATTTGATTTATATGCCGCCCTTCTCCGGAGACTCAGGACGGCTTACAATGCGTTAAGCAATAGCCTTCATACTTTTGTATATTTATACAAAGTCAGCTTATAACTCTGTTATTCTGTTTTTCTCTTCTCTTCTGTTTTCACAAGAACCCTGTGCGGTGGGCTGGGGTGAGAGAGAGAGGGAAGGGATT